CTATTACGGCATTTCAGTAGATGGCAAAATAGGTAAGTCGACAATGCACTAGAACAGTGGCAGTAAAACAATCGATAACTAAACACAATTTCTACGTGTTTGTGTCCGAATAAAGCAAGAAGGGCGGATAAGATAATGATTAAAAAAATTAATTAATCTCTAACCTCTGTAATGCTGACAAGAACTCTTGATTCCCAGTCACTAACTAGATTTTGCGCCTCGAAATTGCTAGCATTCACAGTGAAATACGGAGCCCCGTGGTCGAACAACAGCTTTCAGAATTTTCTCTGGAATTATTCAACGAGACATTAATGAATTACTATTATTCACTGCATATACAAAATGTTAGGTGGAACAGAAAAAAATTAAAAACCTTCGATGAGACATGCGGCTACCCGGACCTCTGCCCCACTCGAAAATGGTGATTAATATTCCATTCTTTGCCAGAATCGATGTGCACACTGCTCCTGAAACTGAAACTTCGAAATATCAAAAATGCATGATCGAATGTCAATCGCTACCAATATGTACATTATTCTGAAATTAAAAGAGGATAACTACCCTTTTTCTAAGGATCACCAGTAATCGTTGCAAGAGCAAACACCGTCATTGAAGTGATGAAACCGGTTTATATCCCTGACAACAATTTCTCTCCGTACCAACGTGGATACAAACTTAATCGCGACATGACAGTCGGCACATATTCGAAGATTCTTAATTATGCGTATGGGGCTTCCAGGTGGCGTTCGAAGAAGAGCAAAAGCCAAAGCTATTCTTTCGCTGTGCAGCCACAAAAGACGTGCCTTTTCATCATCTTCAACATCAAGCAATATAGCGTCATGATTCGGAGCATACCCTACTATTTTGCTTCTGAAGTTCAACCATTCTAACATCCCTCGGATTAATTTGATATCCGGGTGCGAATCATCTCCGACGGAAAAATAATGAACTGTTCCTTGGTGCTCGACCCAACTAAGTCCTGGCTCCTTCTTTACGCGTTTTTTCTTCATGCTTTTCCTAACAAAAGCTACGCTATCCCATCTTTTTGCAGTTGCGTATATGTTCGACAACAATACGTAAGTCGACTCATCTTGCGGTTCCATTTCGAACACATGCTCGGCAGCAAATCTTCCGAGCTCCACGTTATTATGCGCAACGCAGGCACCAAGTAACGCACGCCACACCATAACACTGGGCTCGTGCGGAATGTCCTCTATCATCTTTACAGCTTTGTCGAGATGACCTAATCTGCCTAGAAGTGATACCATGCAAGTGTAGTGCTCCATGCACGGTTCAATACCATATTCTTCTAGCATGGAAGTAAAGTAAGACTCTCCTTGTACTAACGACCCTGTGTTGCTGCATGCAGAAAGCACAGCAACAAAGGTCATTTCGTTAGGTTTGATATCGGTTTCTCGCATATTCTCAAAGATTCTCAACGCGTCAGCACCTAGACCATGCATCGAGTAGGCCGAGACCATTGAGTTCCAAGAAACAACATCCAGCTTACTCATAGTATCGAAAACTACACGAGCATCTTTAATTCGTCCGCATTTTGCATACATATCAATGAGGGCGTTGCTTACAGCATCATCTCCATCGTACATGGTTTTTATAGCCATTGTATGTATCTGAGTGCCGGCCTCCAAAGCCGCCAGACATGCCGAAGCGCGAAGCAAGCTGGAAAATGTTACCTCGGTCGCTTGAACTCGATCTTCGCACATATTCAAGAACAGTAGAAAGGCTTTCTCTGCATCCCCTAGTTGCACATATCCAACGATCATTGTGTTCCACGAAATCTCGTTTTTGTTTTCGAACTCCTCAAACAAATCCATCGAAGCATCCATCTTTCCACATTTAGCATACACATCCATGAGGGCATTAAAGGCAAATACATTTCGATCTAGACCGACCTTTAGCATGTGGCAATGGATTTGCCTTCCCAATTCGAGGTTCCCGGTTGTTGCACAAGCTTGAAGGACACTAGCTAATGTGAATTGGTTAGGACTCACTAATGCCATTCTCATTTGAGAAAACAAATCTAAGGCCTCTTCACAACGATCATTCTGCGAGTAGCGGGCGATCATGAAGCTCCAAGGTACAACGTCATCTTTCGGGATTTCCTCAAATACCTTCCGAGCATCATCAATGTCACCAGACCTCGTATACAAATCAAGCAACGAAACACCTACGTACGGATCCATTTCATAACAAGTCTTTAGAACGCACGCATGAACACTCTTCCCCACACGAACAACCTTCAGTCCGAGACAAGCCTTGATAACACTTGCAAAAGTGAAATTATTCGGCACCATCCGTTCGATCCTCATTTGATTAAAGAGATCCACTGCGTCTTCAAAACAATCATTCTCGGCATAACAAGATACCATCCCGGTCCAACAAACCATGTCCTTTTCAACAATCCCCTTGAAAACTTCCTTGGCGACATTTGCAAACCCGAAAACCGAATAAGCATCAACGAGAGCTGTCCCAACAAAGGCGTTAGAATCATGACCAAGCTTATGAGCGCAAGCATGAACGGGCCATACCATCTCCACCCAACCCGTGCTCACGAGCAACTTCAAAATCGTGGTGAAAACAAATGGATTAAGCTCGTGACCCTCCTTATGTAAACTAAAGAACAAGTCAACAGCCTTATCATATTCACCTAACAGGGAACAACCCTGAATTACAGTAACGAATGAAACCACGTTTCTGTCCGGCATTTCGTCGAACAGGTTCAGCCCATCCGAAAAATGGCCGTTTTTCAGGTATAAATTCAACAAAATGTTGCGAGCAAATAAATCCAAACAGTTCCCCCTTTTCAGAATTTGACAGTGGAGGATTTTTCCTCTCGTGGGATCGTCGGCTTTGATGAACTGCTGGAGTATTCCGGCGTATAAACGAGAATCGAACTCCGGAATTAAGGATGGTATTACTTCCTTGCTCATGGACTCGTCTCTGTACAGTTGAGCAACCATAGATGAGAAACGATACAGTAGATAAGATGGCCGACGCTCTGCAAAGTATCTCCATTGCTGCGTAATTCTGCAGCATTTGAAGATGATCATGCGGTGAGTTGCAACCGAGTGACAAGCCTATTTTTTGTTACGTTTTGCAACGGCAGGCGGCGGCGGAGGGGGTGGCGGAAGGTTACGGCGAACGGCGGAACCCTTGGTTATCGACGGCGAACGGCGGAAGTGAGCGAACTACGGTTGTGGGAGTGGAAGAAGCTATGATTCGGATCGGTTCAATCCGGGTCGCTTCAATCCGGGTCGGTTTTCTGTTTTTGGATTATTTGTTTTTTTTTTCTTAAAGAAAAAACAAATATCGTAATGTAGATTGAGGAATTGACGAAAATGCCCTTGGGGAATTAGGGTTTTGCAAGCTGATATAAATACCTCCCATCTTCCTTCAGTCTGCGCCACCGTAAACAACTCCAGCGATTCCGAACGCATCCATAGCAAGAGGCGCAGCCGGCGAAGCTTTCTGAGCCACCATGAGGGCTAAGGTAAACTCATTTTCCCACCATTTTTCATTTTATTTTATTACTCGTCAGCTTTTGTGCTATCAATCGTTACTTATATTTTTTATCTGCGATGCTTTTTTGGGATGAATCTCGAGTTTTCCGATGATCTGAATCTCTTCTTATTTGAGAAATTTTACTTGCATTTTTCGAGTTTCAGTAATTGTTCTTCTTTTGAAATGACTGTTAATTGGATTTTTATGAAACTATTGTGCTTGATCTGGATGATTCTCAATTATTTTTTTTATTTTTAATTTAATTTTGGCTTTTCATTTTGTGGTGATTGTCTTGGAAATTAATTTATTTAGAACTGCATATGAATTTATTAAAATAAAATATCAAGTATGCTTCAACTGATTAAAAAAAATCACTATCAATTTTGATGCTCCAAATTTGATATTTTTCCCTTGAATTGTGTCATCAAATCGGTTGCACAATTAAAACCCTGTTTTTTTCGATGCAAAAAACGCGTACGCCATTTTCATTATGTGAAAATGGTTATTTGTTTGATGCCTATGGTTACAGTAAATTTCTCACGATAAATTGCACGATTCAATTCGTAATAACATAGCGAAGCTTAGATTTGAAGAGTGAGTTTGTTTTGAAGTTCTAGCTCCTTGTTATTTATGCTTTTTAAGTTGTGAATCGATTGTTGGATTGAACGAATATTATCCGTCTTTTCGTCTCTGATTATAATGTTAAACATTTCTTCTATTTCAACAGTGGAAGAAGAAGAGGATGAGGAGATTGAAGAGGAAGCGCCGAAAGATGAGACAGCGATCTAAGTAGAGGATGAACACGTAGGATTCGGGCATGCTTCTTTTGCAAGAAGAACCAGCTTCCTTATCGATTGGAAGAACTTTTTTTTTGTTAAAAGAGCTTTGTCTTGATATTCTGTGGTCGAATTCCTGTTCAGGGATCGAGTTTATGTTTTGTGTTCGACTCTTTCAGTACTTCTGCTTTAGGTTGACTGAGTTTTAGTTTTGTAATGAAGAGTGTGCGCTACTTTCTTGACATGCTCGTTGGCAGAATTTTATATGAAACTGTTCTAGACATTGTTTTTGATATAATTTCGTCTTTCGCTTTTGTTGGTTTTCTTTTTAGCTGCATGCTTCTTAATTCTTATGTTCAGGGTCTCGATGAAGAGAAATGCCGATATTTGCTTCGGTAATGTTTGTATTTTGCACTGAAATGTTTTTGGATCGTTTCTGATTCAATAGATTATACCTTTTTGTTATGCCCCTATGGCCCCATATCTTCTCGAAGCTAGTTAATTTGCCTCGTATTGACGCCCTCGGTTGACCTCTTCGACTCCTTTCTAAGTATCCATTTTTCAATTGTATTAGGGTTACCAATACTTTTAGGCCTTGTTTGGTTGCTAAGATTGGTTATGATAGTCAAAATAACTGAGTTTACTTAGATGTGTGGTTGGTCCAATAGTTTAGAGTATCGCCCGTGTTGCGGAAAAACGTCTCTTATTTTCACTAATTGTCTAATTCTCATGAGAACAAAACAAGTAGCATGGAATGTATAAATAAAGTTAGGGGTGAAAGTCGGATGGATTGGATCGGAATTAGCTTTTTCGGAAAATTTCCAAAAAATTTTGGAAGTACAAAATCAATTCCAATTCCAATTCCAAAATTTTCGGAATCTAAAAATTCATTCCAATTCCAAAAGTCCCGGAAATTTCGGAATTTCGGAAAAAAAATCGGAAATCACATAAGCTTTAAAATTTCAAAACTTAGCCGAAAATTTCTAAAATGTTCATAATTTTTCGAAAATAAGAGCATCCACGTCAATAAAAGTAAAACTAATAACTACTAAATTTCAGTTCAAAAATATAAATAAAAATAAACACATCATAATATCGAATAAAACTTCTAACAACAATTCATTATGTCAAAATCCTAAAAAAAAACTTGTAGATGCATTTTTCGGAAAATAAGTATTGTATAATATATACTATTTATAGGTGTATTTTTCGGAAAAAAATCGGAATTTTTCGGAATTAATTTCGGAATTAAATCGGATCGGAAATCGGAAATTCCAAATTTATTTTATATAATTCCAATTCCAATCCAAAAAAATCGGAAAATTTCGGAAATCGGAATTTCGAAAGTCGGAATGAAAAAAGTTGTTCCAAAATCGGAACTTTTCGGATCGGAACCGGCGGAAATTGGAAAATCTGTTCCAACTTGCACCCCTAAATAAAGTTTAAGATCGGATTTTCAAACTAGACACAAGTTACGAATTCGACTTCTTAGTAAATAAAGATTTAACTCGTTAATAAACAATGAAGTCTACTTGGACTCTGAGTGTCAACATTTCTTGGGTCGAATTATCGCACATGACTTATCCTGTGTAATTTGCATTTCACAAGGTTTTTGAACTATTGGTTTGGCTCGAGATACATACTGCAGTTTACATATCTCGTGTGATTTGTCAGGCATAACTATATTTTGCCTAGTGCAATTTATACATCTCACTAGAGTGGAGTAGTATTTAATTAGTGTCTAGTGCTTAATTTTCTAGTTTCTTTGCTAATAAATTAGTTCGATAAACATAATCAAATGATGGCTACTACTACTTTAATAAAAGGGCGATTTACGGCCTCCAAGTTATGGTCAAATTACGAAAATCCTTCTTCTGTTTTAGTAATCACAATCCTCTCCTCAACTGTGTATTATTATATGAAAAGACCCTTGTACAGATAAATTTAGGGATATTAATTCGGTAAAACCGAACTAAAATATCGGTACGCCAACATTTCATACCGTTTATCGAACTAAATAAACGATTTTGTTCGGTAAATAACCGAATTACATAAATTTTATATAAAAATATTTAAAATGAGGGGTGGTTGTAATTACCAAAACAAGAGGGATTTTTTCTGTAATTTTACCTATAATAAATAATATAAAAAATATTTAAAAATTGCCACGTGTCATCGAAATATGACAGGTGTCAAACTCCCGGGGAAGCAAAATGAAACGTGTTAGAATCCACCGTACCAGCATGAAGTGAATGAAATGAACCTTCTCTCCACAGCAAAAATACGACGCAGAAATTCAGAAATTCAGGAAAAAAAAAATGGCGAACAGCAAGGAAGATATAAAATATGGAACAGCACAGGCGAAGTTATCGGAAGACGAAGTTCTGAGGGTTAGGTACAAGGCGGGGACACCACTTGAAGGAGGAAAGATTACCGATTCCCGACCCCGTCGATCTCTTCGCCGGCGCTCATAATCTCTCCGGCGAGCAGCGTGAGAATCAGGGGGGCATGGTCGCCGAATCTGAGCCCGTCGATGTTTTCTCCAGTGCTCGTAACTTAGAAAAGAAACCGGATGAGCAGCAGGGCTCCGGTGATCGAATCCAATTGCAGCGGTAGATGGTTTGGTGTAGTTCACGCGCCGGCCAGATTGCGTACGAGTTTTCTTAGTTGTGGTTTTTTTTTTGTTTTTTTCGTTTATTAATAATATGTGATAATATTAATAATTGTAATGTTTGAGCTTTCCTTAACTAACATTTAACTTAATTAATAGAAGCTTAAAATCCACCTAGGATTGAGGTCCATGATTTTTCTTTTGGGTTGACTATTTGGACTTGGACCAAATCACTCACTGTATTCCACCAAATACGGTTATCTACACACCAATATGGGTGTGTGTAATATGTGTTTATATGAATGATATAGATTTACCGGTGTATTACATCCAATGTAGCATATGGTTATTTCCATCCTTTATGACGAAGAAGAAGACGGTCTCTTCGGTAATGAATTCTTCTACGAAATGCAGTACCGATTTCGCTTGGTTTTCATTATACGGAATATAAAATAAAATTTTCAGTACCGATTTTTCATCCCATTGTTCGGTACAGAAGAACTTCACCATTTCCTCCTACACACTCGCTAACGGGAAGAGTGACAGCCGGTACGGATGCCGTAACTACCACAAACCGTATATTAAACAAGAAAAAATAAATTTAACAAAGCAAAAATATGGTAAAATAGTATCAAAAGGAAAAGATAAAATAAAAAGATTTGCCAACAATATATATATTGTACTGCAACTGTACATATCTCTAAACACTAAACTCCCCAACTACGCCATTAAGTAAGTAATGATATCACAAAAGAGCATCAAAATAATAAGCTCCTCAAGAACCTTAATCCCAGCCAATCACAGTTAACTCCAACACACACACACACACACGGCAAACTTATAAAAGAAAAAAAAAAAAAAGAAAAAAAACAAATCCCCCACCATGTTGTCACAACAAAGATATAGATGGTGAAAAAATCTATAACATGCCTGCGAAACGAACAAACTTGCCCGATTAACGAAAAATAAGAAACTAAAATATTAATCTTTTCTTGCTAAATGATTACCGTTTACCGAACTTCTCCAATAAGATTTGCCAAGAACCCTGTAATAATCTCATAAGCCACCACTCCCTCCCAAAACGGGCATAGATCGCTGCGCGAATTCCAACAGTACTTTCCTCTGCTGCTCGTTCGTGTGAGGGAGGCTCGCACGTAATAGTTCGACGGGCATTTCTCGAGTAATTGCTTTCGCCACGTCAGCAGCAATGGAAGCTACGTCTGTCGAGCCCTGACTGATAAACGATTGCACTACGGAGTCGTATTTACTAAAGCAGTACTTAGTGAGCAGGCCGAAAAACTCGTCGAAGGAGGCCTGCCAGAAAACCCTGTTAGACGAGCTGCAGTTGCTAGCGGCGACAGGGTCGGTCAGAAGCTCGGTGGCCCTATCGAGAACAGATTTCAGAACGACGGAGGCTCCATCTCCGGCAGGACTTCCGATGGGCCGGAGAGGCGGGTGCTCCGGCGAACACACGACCGACGCCAGGCAGGCGGCGAGGGCTTTTAGGTCCATACCGTTGACCAAGGACGAAACGGCCTTTACGAGGCCACCAGTTGTCGCCGACACTCCACGATCCGCGTGGCGAATGCCGAACAAGAACCTCAAGTTTCGGAAAACAGCCATGCAGACAACTCGTGTGAGTTCACCTGGCAAAAGAAGTTCAAGAAAGTTCAAGAGAAGCTTCCTTCCCTTTGAAAGAGAAACCAACCTCAAGAACACAAAGTCATCTTTCGGAGCCAAGTCAACCGTGTGCCCGTTTTGGCCCAACGGGTCAGCGAGCTGAAGTGACGAAGCTAAACCTTCTAGAAGAGCCTGCCTCCTCTGTCTCAAGAGGGCTCCACCGTCTTGGAGCTGGTTAAACTGTAAATATCTGTCGATATCGTCCACATCAAGTAAGAGATTAAGTCCATCTTCAATAACCACCCTGGCTGCAAGCATAGGCTCTTGCTCCAAAGGTTTCTCGAGAATTTTCGAGTCACCACTAACGCTAGAATTTGGTGGGTCCATTTCAAGAAGTGGGCGGGGCCTACGTATCGAAGAGAAGTTAACCCTACCGAGTGCATCGACCTGGAGAAAAGCATGCGGCTCGTTATTCGCACGAGCCCTCGATGAACCGTCTTTTATATTAGTTGGGCAGAAGTGATGCCTCATCTTCGAACCGTTGGATTTTCTCGCCAGACAAGCTTGGTGGTAATAATCTTCGACGTAGGGGTCGTTGCTGTGAGTGGCTTGAAGCTGCATTCTAAGAATGTTCTCGATTTCGTCGGCGCTCATGTACTTGGATTTAAACCTAGGCCACCCGTTGTGGCTCCTGTGCCCACCAGAATCAGAGCCGAAATTCGGTGGATAACGCATAATACCCTGTCTATTACCCCTCAGCATTGACATAGCTCTTTGATCTCTCAAATCTTGCAGGTCGAAATTCGGTGGAGACTGAGAGAGGTGGGGGTTGAATAGTTGAGACTGCAATCCGGTCAATTGGTTGAAAGGCGGCGGCGGGCCCTGAAAGGGGTGCTGCATTCGAGTTTGCTGAGGTGGCATCATCTGAGGTGGCACTAAGCCATTCAGATGAGACAGCTGTTGGGGCGAGAGGTTGTTTGGAAGGGCGGAGCGATTCCCAGGGTATGAAGTACTTTGATTCATCCATTGGTTTTGGAGTTGGCTATTAATCGGTAACTGAGGTACATTTGCACCAAATTGTGAGCCGTGAGGCAAAGCGTTATTCAATTGAAGCTGAGAGTTATATGAAATGTTGAGAAGACCAGACTGGCTGTTGGGAGAGCCGTGCAGAGATCTGCCGCCACCTGGCGGTGGATAAGAAGTGAATGGATTCTTTGGAACGAGAATTGGTTCGCTGGAATGCTGATGATGTAAGCTTTGCTGTTGTACATTCGGGTGGTGTTGCTTGGGATATGAAGACGTCCTGTGCAAGGGATCGGGTTCCATAATTCGGGCAGTTGAAGAATATTGCTGTGAGGACCATTGTTTGTTTTTCGTGAATGTTTTCAGCACCAAAAGCACGTTGATCGAACCAGTCATCTTGTGCCAACTCAGCAGCAGATGAACCTGAGGGGGAATAACATTATCAGAAGAAACAAAATGATCACTGTGACTAACAAACTGGATTGAACAAATTTGTGCTTCTTTGAGCACCAGTATTTAACGAGATGTAAGTAGAATCAAGACGAGTCAAATCTGACCATAGTAGACTTATATTCGATCATCATACACTAACTTAAACTAATTATAAATTCCTGTTCATTGACAATCAGTCAGCTAAGAACACCATTGTCCATCAAAAGAAGTTATCATATATAAGATGAAGATATCAAAATATAATGAAGCGCTTGAAGACTAGTTCAAAAATCAAGTGCATATCAATCACACTCAACTCAACAACAATGTATTGTGTATCAATATTAGATTTCCTACACTCCCATTTTTTCACTAGCTACGGAAAGAGCTAACTTCCAATAAAAACAAAAATTCACATATTTTATGCAATGTATGAGATATCAAACAAACTCGGAGTTCAGTGAATGCATTATGCATACATGAGCAAATTAAAGTTCAAAAATCATATGTTAATCATTCAAAGTATGATGTTATGGAGAATAATCCCATTCAACTCAAAGATGCATTATCACGTAAAAATAAAGATCGCTTACACTCCCATTTTTGCGATAGCTTTAAACATTTAACGCCACATGTGCATGTTCTCGGATAGATGGACTATAATACAGATTGGACAATAGATTGAAAATAAGGCATTAACTTGGAGTTTAATGGAGTCGACTTGAGTTAGTAAGACAAGATATCAGAAGGCTATATTACACTAAAACCCAGAATCTGTATTAGCAACACGTCAAGATAACTCAAAAGTCGTTAATCATTAAACCTCAGAGGACAAGGCATTACTATATCATACATTATCACATATTATCAACAGCAAGTAAAATTAACTGTTAAAACTTGGGATCTAGATTGTGTCATAATTGAACTACAGCACAACACAGATAAATCACACGGCGTGCTCAATATGGAAGATTCATTTGGACGTTGTTTGCTATTAACCATGTATATGAACTACTAACATATGCAGTCAGAAATTTGAGAAAAAATAAAAAAAGCAAAACAAAATTAATGAGCATGCAATAATAGTAAGGCTAATTTGGTTTGTATGCACTCACTTTCTCGGGATCCCCAATCTCTAATAACTCCCGCACTTGTGGGCCCACTGACAACTGAATTCAACTGTACATAGAAAAGTAATAGAAGTGCATGAGAAACACAGCAAAATCATCCAAAAACATAGAAACGAGGGAAAAAATAATAGCTCATAATTGATACCATGTTACCTAACATACAAATATGCAAAGGACAAAATACCATGTATCTTAATTATAATAATAAAGAAAAGACTTATGTAGGAAATCCCATAAATGTAAAAGCTCGACATCACTTTTTGTAAAAAGAATGTAAATGGATAAAGATAAATGAAACAGTACGCGAATCCTCAGAAAATTGGGTTATCACAGGAACATGAAGAAAAAGAAGAAGAAGAGGGAAGCAAGGAGGGGTTAATTCCACTTCTGCATGTTCTTTTCTTCCTTCTATTAATTGGAATGCGAGAGCTACCACGGTACAATTAAATAGTAGTTATGCGGAGAAGATCAAATTCCCGTGTAACATTTAAAACTCATTCTTCTAAAAGGAAGAAAAAGAAGTATACATACCACCGATACAACAGAAAAAACAGCTCAATTACTTTTTAAAAAGATATTTAAAAAAAGAATAATTATATTTACTTATATATCCATTTATAATATAAATCAGACTCCAGCTGAAGTATGAATATTCCCCACACACCCTCTTCACACTGAGAGAAATAATATATATATATATATATATATATATATATATATATATATATATATAGAGAGAGAGAGAGAGAGAGAGAGAGAGAGAATCATTGTGTTAAAGCCATCCTACGCCCATAAACTGAGGTGAAAAACTATCTCAAATTAATACGTTGGAGATAAATTTTTAAACACGTGTGAAGCCTCACCTTTGTAAATGTGCTTGAAAGATCGTCGATCTCGGATAAAGATTCCAACACATCTCCCTGCAAACAAAGAAAGAATTAACACAAAAATGAATCAGTAAAAGCCTCCATGACTTGGGTCCCGCAAACACTTTTGGAAAATGGCGAAAATTCAATCTAAACAGTAGCGTAAATGCACAGAACACTAGAGCAGATAAGATGAGTTAGGATATGTGATGTATTTATGGAGATCTTGTAACCAACTATAACCCAAATAAACAGTGTTAAAACAAATCAGGTTACGAACGAACCATAAAAAGCAATAAAAACTAACTAAAATCCTACGGTCAAATTTTGAATTAAATAGGAGATTAATAGATAATGAGAAACTGCTCTAAAATAGACATTCTTCAAAAGACGATTATACCATCCTGCCCAAATTTTCTTTTAATACAAGATCAATGAAAAGCTAGTCAACGGAGGAAATCAACAAAATTCCAAAGAAAATACAACATGACTATTAGACATATAAATAAATAAAATATTCGGCACAAATGGAGAAATACAGAATCAACCATAATCACATGTAAACACAACTACAAGAAAGGATACGAAGTTAGGAAGACTTTTGCGTAACACCAGGCAATAAGACCGAAACTAATATAAAAAAGGAATAAATAATTCAGAATTTATCGACATGGGTATCTGGAATCGAGTTTCAAACCAATCAAACAAAAGAATGGAACCATCCAATAAAAAATAAATATGGCATGTAATTGATACAAATCCAATGATTTCTCAAAATTTAAATTTTAAATAACATTCATGCACATAATATTCTTCCACGTAAACACGGATAGGGGGGTGAGGGGTTAATAGAAAAAGAAAAAAACATGATTAAAAAGATTAAAGAGCAACCTCTTCCTTGTCCAACTGAAACTCTTCTTCCTCCAGCCCAACTCGAGCAAGATCATCCTCATCATCATCTAATCCGCCGAGCTCAACCTCCTCCACCGCATCACCGCCAAAGAATTCATATTGTGAAGCATCAAATAAAGCATTACCTGCGCCATCGGACAAAGTAAATTAGAAAATGTATACTCTAAGAATGAAAAAAAAAACAGATTCATCGAGTGCATTATGCTCACAGATAAGTAATTAAGAAGGTAACGCGATTTTTTTTTCTGAAAAATAATGATGAAACAACACCTAAGTTTTCATACTCAAGCCGTGACAAAAGTCAACTCACAAGTTGGGTTAAGTTCCCAAACAAATAGCAGATTAATACCCAAAACGACATTTGTCGCATGAAATATACTAATCTAATTCGAACCCATGATTGATACCTAAAATCTGAAATATACTCCAAGTACCAAAAGAACAACAAAAGCGAAACCCCAACTAGTCGATTACTTTTTTCCCCTTAAAAAGTAAAACCAACTAATCAACTCATGAATTAGCAAAATTGTATCAAACGCCCACAAAACTATGATTAAAACACAACAACGAAAAACAGAAGTCGATAAGTTCGCGCTCGAGCCCGATAAGCAAACAGATCTACACAACACCAAATTCAAAACTCAAGTGTACAAAAATCAACTGAAGAAAGTTACAGCAAACCTGTTGGATTTGCAGCAAATGGTCTAGGATCCTGAAGCTTAAACGAATCTTGCATACTGCCCCCATCACCATATCCATCCATTTCAAAAATCTTAATACTCCAATAAAACTACAACAAATTCCCTCCTTCGAACACCCAAAAATATTCTTCCAACCACAAAAACTGGAGAAAAAAATTAAAAATTAGGGCTAACTAAAAAGATACGCAGCCCCCAAAAAAAAACAAAACAAGTCAAACTGCCGAAGCTAAATCTATTATAAATAGGGCAAACTCCTGCCCCACAACTAACTAGGGTTTCTGAAAATCGAAAGATCTGTACAACAAAAATGTGTACCGCGAAATCAATCTTCAACGAAGAACGAACGGAAAAAAAAAAGCAAAAACAAAAAACAATTTTGCGTATCTTCAATTATCCCCAAAGGATAACGAGACTACTCGTCTTCAATTATCCCTAAATTATATGTAGAGAGAGAAAGAAGAGAGAGAGAGAGATACAGATGAGTCTGAATTCAGAACTGGTGAAGAAATATAGCAAGGGCAACGTGTCTGTGCACACACACACATACACACATATACACACAATTGTATATATCTATATAATTTTTATTTTTTTATTTCTGTGTGTGTATATATAAATTAGGGTGGTGCACATTTGCCTTTTTGTTTGTGTGTGTGTGTGTGTTTTTCTTTTTTTACAGAAAACAAAAGTAAAAATTAAAAAGGATTGGACGGTGAAGCTTTTTGAAAAAATGGCAAAGTAGCGGGACTGTAATGTAATTATTTTGTGGATTTTGTTTTTTTGCTGTTGAGGACATTAGTTATCAGTAATACCTAAAAAGGACCCTACTTGGTCGTGGGTCCCACTGGTTGGAAATAAAATCAATTTTTTTCCTTTTTTTTGTTAAAATATAAAACCCTATCAGCATATTAGCCTATGTGACGTCATATGTTGTAAAAGAATATCCTCATATTTTATTATTATATTCTAGAATATATGAGGTTGTGTTTATTTAGGCGGTCCATTGTATTTATGATAACTTCATTTCATCTTGTAATTACATAAAATGAGTTTGTAGTGGAAGTACAATAAAATCTCGATAAAGTAATATTTGATAAATTTATAATTTTGTTTACATAATATTTTTTTTCAGTCTCGATTCTGTAAAAATGCACTAAGATTTTAGTTCATAGTTTAATATTAATTTCTACAAGTAAATTGCACATGTTATTTTTTTCAATTTTCAATTATTAATTCAATCTCTATATATCAATTATGATTTCAGTACCGTACTTAGTAGGTGGAGCCATAGAGAACAATATTAAATGACTCGAGTTCGAATCATTATCTGCAAATTTAGGTATTTTTTTTCAATACGAGGTTACACAAAAGATTAAAGGGGAAGAAAAAAAATTGTTAATTAGAGAATTCGAGCTCGTTTTTTATCACAAATTTAAATCTAAACCCTAAACACTTGAGAAAGTTGTATTATATTATCCATCAAGTATAATCATAATTAGCAAATAAGATATGAAATGACTTTTAATGTTGGCAACCTCATTATACACGAGGTGATAATACTTGTTGTGGGTCTAAATATATTAAGGCCCACTACACTTACATAAATCACTTCAACAAATAACCAAATTAGAGGCCTTTATTTAAAGGCCATCAAAACTAAGCCCACAAGATTCAACTATATAAAAAAAAAAAAAAAAAAATGTTTTAGATTTATGTGCTAATTTGGTAATTTAAAAACTTCCTGCTCTCTTTTTCGGGTTACGATCGCCAAATGTAATCATCAGAGCAATTCCTGACTACATATCGTTGGTGCATTAATTTTAATTCGGAACGTGAATGTTTAATCGAACATGTAGATGATTTTAGTTCCCGTTTATCTCAGACACTCGGCATTGAACTCTCACATTCTTTATGCTCTTTAACTCGAAGATTCATGATTACTTAGTCACTGTAATATCAAATCGTTTCTGGTTATCTTTATTTATGAAATAAATTAACGTTCGAGCGACTCTTAAGCAATTTTTGTAATTTATGTGCAGACCTAGGGGCTATTTTGTTTCTTTTCGTGTATGAGTTATTTCAAAGAGTTTTAGCTCGTAAATTCCTTTTGTCTATTTATGTATACTAAACAGTTCCCAATAGTAGCCAAAAAGAATTTACCAATATTGATGTTCTAATTGTAGGAATATTAACATTGTTATTGACTTATTGTAAATTTAATTTCACAACTCTTAAATATTATTTTTTTGCCTTTTTAAAATTCTAAAAAAATAATAAATAAAAGCAAAAGGAAGAAGAAATAATTTCATTTTAATTGTATTTAGAAAATTCTATCACTCTAAAATATTCTATGAACGCGGCAAAGAATTAAGAGCCACCACCACAGAAAAAAAAAAACTCCACACCTGGTTTTCCAGTGCACCATCAATGGCGAGATCGATTCTCTGCTCGCATCTGATTCCTTCCATATCGTCATCCGTTCCGCTCAAGTCTTCTCTCCTTCTCCAATGGCCAAATCTCTCAAAAACCTCGCACTCGATGCTCTTAATTAACCGGCGGTTCTCCGCCGCAAAGATAAGCATGAGCCTCCGAGCCGGCATTGTCGGCCTCCCCAACGTCGGCAAGTCCACTCTCTTCAACGCCGTCGTACGCCTCTTTCTCCCCTTCTTAATTTTTATTTCTCGAACGATTGAAGTAATTTAAACAGTTCTCTCATTCTTCTCGTGGTTCAAAATACAAGGATGCTTGAGTTGAAGAATTAGTTTTGAATTTGTGAACTGTTGGATAGACCGGGAATATGGTGAATTGCTTTCCAGAGCTGTTAATTATTCGATTATGCTGCTAATTATTTGTTAATTATTTGTGAAATTATGTGGAAATGGATTTTATTCTCTATTGAGCCCTGGACACTAAATTGTTTGGTACTTTTTATTAATTATTTTATTTGTCTATCTCGATTGGGGTTTGATGTCGATTAGAAGGTGATAAATCCAACTTATTTTGCACTATTACCTTAATTTTACCTTGTACTGTAAATTCTCATTCTCGTTGTTACTCTCCTGCTATTATCCGTGTTTTATATTAGTTTCGTAAAAAGGCGAGCAATTATGTAAAAATTCGTATTTAATATGCTTACATTTTCGATTGGAGAACTTGTAGTAAAAAGTGAAGTGTCAAATGTCGGTATTCCCATCTATACTTTGATGCAAATGGATAAGCCTTGTCTAGCTCCATAGTAACTGAACTCTGATTATATTATTTATAGGTTGAAAATGGAAAAGCTCAAGCGGCAAATTTCCCCTTCTGTACAATAGAACCGAATGTAGGGATTGTTGCTGTTCCAGATCCTCGTCTCAATGTGCTTTCAGAGATCAGCAAATCTAAAAAAGCTGTCCCTGCATCCATAGAATTTGTTGATATTGCTGGCCTCGTAAAGGGAGCCAGTCAAGGGGAGGTGGAGTATTTTAATCTGACTATGTAGTTCATTTTCTTCCAATTGATCAAATATTGCGTTTTGCATTTCTGGTAGATTCTTGTCTTCAGTTGTTTGATTTTTGGTGATGTTTGCTGTATTTGATTTTCCCTTTGCAGGGTTTGGGTAATAAATTCTTATCGCATATTCGTGAAGTAGACTCTATAATCCAGGTATCCATATTTACGTCCTCGATTTTTATTTCTGTTAATTTCTTGAATTAGTGGGTATATATTGCGAGCTGCTGTTATATTTCCGGGAAAATAATTTTATACGTTGCCATTCCCTTTATTTAAGATTTGTTTTTCCTGTTTTGATGGGAACCAGCCATATCTTCATAATGATTGATATACATTGGCTGCCTTTTCCAACTTTACAAATGTGAAGTGCTTCATGTGTTATTTACACTCTATTCATGTTTATGTACCCTTTTAGGTGGTGCGCTGTTTTGAAGATAATGACATTATTCATGTGAATGGAAAAGTTGATCCAAAATCGGATATCGACGTCATCAATTTAGAGTTGGTCTTCTCAGATTTAGATCAGGTATACTTCAAGTAAATCTCCTCCAATTTGCAAGTGTCTCTTTACGCATAAATGCAAGGACCTGGTTTGACATTCTTGACGTATAAAACATAGTCAAAGACTAGACAATTGACCCAAAAACATTGTACTACGTATTAACAACATAGGAGCTTACCAAGTTGTAGGAACCATTTATATTTTTCCTCCCTAAGATGTGGTGACTTCCCTCAGTCAAATATGCTACATAGTTGTTTCCAATTGATGGAACATGGCTCAATACTCAAGTTTAAGGCGACCAAAGTGAGAGCATAAATATATGCAGCCCAAAATGTATAGTAAATAGACAGCTGGAGTCTAATCAAGAATTACGTACACCTTAAACTTTTCTACCACAGGCAACGTCCTTAAACTTTTCTACCACAAGCAATGTGGATACTTATTTTAAAGATTAAAAGGAGAGAGTGACCTAGCTGTCTGGTGGCAGTCTATTTGTTCCAACTTGTTAAAATATTATTCCCTCTGTTATATACAAGTATGTTGGAGAAATAATTCGATGAGATTTGAACCATGGTCATTGTAATGCACTCATTTTCCGAAGGCTGTGTGATAGAGCATGCGATTTGATGGTGTGTTGCTTGGAAAGTAGAACGCTAAGAAGATAGAATGACTATTATTTAATACCCCCTTTGATCTGTTTCTGTAGTGTTTGTGCCATATTGAGGCTCTAAAGCTCAAATTTCTTTTAATTCAAGATTAGAACTCACTTTGAGTTGAATTGGAAATAAGTCATTTTAGCTTGAATTTTCATCCGGCTATATTTTAGAAAAAGGCATGGACAATTATATCGGACTAAGTTGTGTCATCTACAAGATCTGCAGGTTGAGAAAAGATTGGATAAACTCAAGAAAAGCAAAGCTTCTAACCCACAAACCAAAATGAAGGTGGGATTTTACTGATTCCGAATTTTCACGATCAGCTATAAATATTGTCCCAAACGAAATGAAAAAAATAATCCCGAAGATTATCGTAGTATAATCTGCTCATTTGCAGGAAGAAGCAGAGAAGTCTGCACTGGAAAAAATCGTGGTGGCACTGATGGATGGAAGACCAGCTCGATCAATTTCTTTAACTGATCTCGAAAAGGATGGTATAAGGCATCTTTGTTTACTTACTATGAAACCAATCATATATGTGGCAAATGTGGCAGAGTCTGATCTAGCCGAACCTGGAAGCAACTCTCATGTTCAAGATGTGACGAATCTTGCTTCTGAATTGCAATCTGGACTAATAACTGTCTCAGCACAGGTGAGATCGTACCTTCTAGAACTATGTGTGCTTATATGTAAAGAACTTGTAAATTTTCTCAATGTGAGTTAGTTTTATGTCTTCCTATAGGTTGAAGCTGAGCTTACAGAACTTCCTCCGGAAGAAAGGATTGAATATTTGGCCTCTCTTGGAGTCAATGAGAGTGGCCTAGGAAATCTCATAAGGGCAACTTACAACCTTCTAGGACTGCATACTTATTTCACCTCCGGCGAAAAGGTGAAAATTTTCTTTTGAATTATAAATGTTACTCTTGTTTTGGTTATAACACTATTTCTTTTTTGTTTTTTTTGCAGGAAACAAAAGCTTGGACGATACGATCAGGTCTTTGCCATTTCTCTTTGTGTTTGCAAATATTCTTATTTGACGTATATTGTATAGCCGTACTTTCTCTAACACTACAATTCCCGAAATAGAATTGTTTGGTCTGGTTTTAGTCCCTTGGAAAAAAACTGAAACATAGCTACTGGTTTTATTTTTCATCCTGATGCTGTTGTAACCTTTTTATTTTTCATTATCTGCAGGAATGACTGCACCTCAAGCAGCTGGTGTTATACATTCCGACTTTGAGAGGGGCTTTATTCGAGCAGAAACGGTAATGGTCTTTAATACAAAATGTTAGATAGTTGTTATCAGTATTTATATTTGTGAATGAAGTTTCTCTAAAAGAATAAAGTTGTGTAAATCTGACTTACTCTCAGCTAATCTAACGTATAATTTTCGGTTTAAGATGCTATCAACATTAGCCGAAAGCTTATATTCACTAACTACTTTGTGTAAAACAGTGGACGTATTTTTTTTTTTAACATCAAATGTCAATTAAATGGAAGCAAGTCATTTTTCACGATTTTTTGCCCGTATCATTCTATAAGCAATGTACATTTCTGCGTCATTTATTATACCTGACCTTTTCGAAATCAAACGGCTTTTCAGGTTGCTTATGACGATTTTGTCGCTGCTGGTTCATTTTCAGCAGCAAGGGAGAAGGGACTGGTAAGTTAATGTTCTATTTTTCAGCATTAATTTTCGAACTCCTTCGTCTATAAAATTAAATCATCAAATTTTGTCAGTCTTTTTTAACCTTACCGAAACTTACAACTATTATACTCTTTCTTCTGCCTTACGTTTGTTCAATGAGTTTATTTTATGCGGTTTATGCAGTTGAGATCCGAGGGAAAAGATTATATCGTGAAAGAAGGGGATGTGATGCTATTTCGGTTTAATGTCTAAATAGGATATTTATTGATGGTGATTTTTTTTTGGCCTTGCTCGGAATCTCTTACATGAAGATCACGAACCCGCCGATGAGGTGGATCGGACCAAGTCGGAAACATGCGGATTAGATATTAAATGTTTTTTATTATTGTTATTTTACTTAATGAAGCATTTCATTACCATTTGTTTTCTAGCAAGGGATGTCATTTGTACTATCTTTTTGTTGATGAGAGAAAATCGAAAGAAATATATATAGGATATATATATAAAGAGAACCCAAATTTGGTGCCTACAATTTGTTGATTTTGGAACAATATTTTTTCAATCCAAATTCTGAAATCCGACTTCCAATTTTCCGAAACTATTTGGATCCGAATTGGAATATATGAGATTCCAATTTTTCGATCAGATTTAAGTTCTGAAAAGTCTGAATTTTTTTTCCGAACATGGCATTTTTTATTTATTTATTTATTTATTTATTTTTTTTTTGAGTAAATTCAAGTCCATTACAAGGGGAAGTAGGGGAGAGGGGGACTCGAACCCTAACATGGCATTTAAAATACCAATATTATTTTGTATTTTGCATTTTAGGTGACCAAAAATTGGAAATTTCAAAATTCCGTCTCGATCCGAAATTTTCCGGTTTAGGAACACGTTTTTTCGTTCCAATTTCCGAAATTTCGATTTATTTTAGGAATGAAATTGGAACTACTTTTTCATTATAGAAAAAAAAAATTCCGAAAGGGCTACTTACGATCCGATCGATCCGATTTACAACCATAATTTTGCATTATCAACTCAAGTTCTTCACTTGAACTGATTGTTCTCTTATTTGTATGCAATATTTTTTTTTCTCATTTTCTCGTATTTGTAAACATTTATCCGGATACATTAACATGGTTGTTCGATCTTGAACGTCATTTATAATCAAATTTACGTACTTCGAATCAACATAAAGGCTACATGCAAGATCTAATTCGTTGTAAAAATAGCTTCGCATTAGTTCTCGTCGTCATTTGACGTGGAATGTCATTTATATTCGACTTTACGTACATCGAATCAACATAAAGACCGATAATATCCAATATCTACTCGACAAAGTTCGAATCAATTGATTATCAAAACAAAGTTGCAATTGCTGTGAAGACAGATTCATAATTCTAAAATCAAAATCACCACCCATATTTTGATTAATCGTAAAAAAAGATTATTATGAAAATTAAATTAATAAATGCCAAATCTCATTGTTCATCTTTGAAGAAAAAAAAAAAAAGGAAAAGGAAAAAGAAAAAAGAAAAAAAGGAGAAACTTTTATATTTACCGACAAAGAAGAAGTTAATCAAAAGTGAAAAGAAAATCTGATTTTCGTAATCCAAAATCTTGTAGCAGAAATCAACTCACTTCTTCTCCAAATCTCTATACACACCAGTCTTCGTGTAAGTTAATCGGAAGCTGATTTTCGGTGCAGTGCAACCCTAATTCCCCAATTGGTACGCATTTGTTCATCTTTTCTAGGGCTTTACGCGAGATCACAATTATGTATTTTTTAATTTTTTTTTTATTTGTTTACTTGTTCATAGATCGCTGTAAATAAAGTGAAAATGGCTGGAAGTTAAATTAATTGGCAATTGATTTGGGTGAGGAAAATCGCAAATCAAATTGGCGTTTGTTTCATTATGGCTATGAAATTTGGAAATTACTGGGAACAAATCAAATTAGTGTATACTTTTCGCCTTTGATAGTGAAAAAAAGACACCTTTTTTTTTTAAATTTTGGTGTGTATTATAGGGTATGGAATCTCTGTCAGTAGTTGTAGTTCATTGCAAAGTTTAGTGACGAGCACGATTTCTACGTAAACAGCTTCCCTATAATTAATATCTGCGCTTTAATGTAGATTTTTTTGTGTGCAGATTTTGGAAGCAATTTAATTGGTTTACGAATCGAACAAAATCGGTTCGTTGGAGGATTCGATGGCAGGCAATGGCCTGCCAACACTAGGCAGGGTGAAGCTGGTCGATTTAATACCCACCGAAGGCCTTCCTTCAGACACATACAAACTCTCCGTATCGACTCTCTCACAATCCTTAGCTCAATACTCCGCCGCCATTATTCAATTCCCCATAACCGATGGAGCTCTCTTAAATTCCTGCCTCGAGTCATCTCGTCTCTACTTTCACCACAAACCATCTTTCCCATCCGCTGACATCATTGAGTCTCGTGATTGGTGCAAAACCTCCGGTTATCAAGCCGACCCACAAACATGGCAAGAAAACTACGATTATAGGCCCGGCCTCACCCTCTTAGAGCCCGTTAACGAAATCGAAATCGAAATCCCGCCCGCAGGTTTAGTCCACCTCTTCGGTCTGCTCGGAAAAGCTTCTAGAGAAATATTGGACGCAATAAGTTTCTACCTTAATCTACGTAGTTCGCCTTTCACTGAAATACTCGATAGTGTCCCTTTAAGAAATCGTGAAATATCGTCCTCCGTTTTGTCTGTTAGTTGCAACGGAAGGCCTTCTTTTCAGGGACTGCACCGTAATTTGACCACCCAAGAAGATGGGCAGATAGTTATGTTCTCCGACCACGACTACCAGGTCGATCGGACATTATTAACTATTACGAAATCGGATAAGGCGGGGTTGCATGTAAGAGATTTTCACGGTAATTGGGTTCTCGTGGACGGTGATCTTGGGCCCGAAGAAGCTGTAGTGTATCCCGGGCTTGCTTTGTATCAGGCAACTGCTGGTTATATAAACCCTGCCATGCATAGGACTGATATTAGTGGTTTTCAAGATTCTATTTATGGCCGTTTTTCGTTGGCGTTTAAACTCATGCCTAAATCTATTGCGAGTCTTGATTGTTCGGAAATGAGAGCTGCTGGGCATGGGGTTGAAGCTCAGTTTCAGATTCCTGTACAGGTCGATGACTTTATGCAGAGATCCACCGATCAACTTCTTAATCGGAACAGTTTCGCCACTTTCGGTTTCCCGACAGGTCAAGAAGGTAACACTTAAATCATTCATGATTTAAAAATAGTTATATGGTTATTTATGTCTTTATATGTTGGACTTATGTTAAGCGTGTCGAGTATGCTTTGTTAATGGCAAAATTTCTATACTGCCCTTGTTTTTTGATAATTAATTTATGCATGGGATCACGTTGAGTCGTGTATTCTCCTACTAGCTATAGCATCGTAAATGGTCGGAGTGAGTCGTAAATGTTATCGACAAATTGAATGCGTGAGAAAAGATTGGAGATTATCTAGATATTATATACATTCTCTTCCGGCATTTTCTTGTTTCTCTTCAAGTTATGAATTCGGTGGAATCACAAATCTAAAGAGTATGGTCGTTGCTTTTGCTACGTAAGCACGTATTGTTAAAGTAAGATACCGACAAAACTGAATTAACTCTTCTCTTTCCGAAAACACTTGCAAGATTCTTTAGTTACACCTTTTTTCCCAAATCATTTTACGTAGTATTTTGCCTTTAACCAAACATGAAATCTGTTTTACCTAATCTACTTAGGTCTCGTTTGTTTGGGGGAGATTAACCATGATTAGTTAAATAATTGGACGTCGTTTGATGTTTGGTGAACCCGATAATCTTTCCGGGTCGACACGGAAGTATTATTTTATCATGGCCTATCTTTGCGTTTTAGAGAGATTATTTATTGGTCCAATAATTCATGGGTTCTCATTAGACTATTACTCTTATCTTGGATAATCTTATCTTAGGAACCAAACGAGGCCTTAGTATTTCCTTTAATCCAAACAGAGCCTAAAAAACCATGCAGAAAGTAATCAACTATAGTTAGACGCAAACCACCATGCTAATTCACACTATATATCAATCAAATACAAATTTCCGATGAAAAATTCTTTTACAGGATGTATAAAACCAACGATGCAGCAAAGGAAAAAGAACAACACGAGATGCAAGCCTCTCCCTCCTTCGAAGAGGCTCCGCCTCGAAGCACAAAGAGTGCTCAAAGAGAGAGTTCAAGAAATCGCGGACAAAAAGGGCATCAAATTAAGATTCTGCACTTTGAAAGAGTGCGAAAATCACGTCCAATCGATCGACAGCCCGTGCGCTGGGGTAAGGCTGGAGATAGGGTGGCCCACCGGGGTCCCGTTTGTGCACCCCCACGACCTCCCTAATAAGGCCAAGATTGGATTTCTCGAAACCTACGAACCTGGTTGGTCCGAGACTAATGATGATGTTGAGTAACCGTGTGGTATAATTTTTTTCGATTTTTTATTTTTATTTTTTTATTTATATGTACAAACTTATATTTTTTTTTTTTTTTTGCAGGCATCTCTAATGAATGACAATAGTTGGAAGAATGACATGAATCTTAATAGTTTGTAATATATATATCTGATCATCTAAGTATATCTTTGTAGTGTTTACTATTATAATGTTGTTAATTTTATAAAAAAGGAAATTAGATTAAATATTTAGGCTAATTTACAGATTAGGAAATGAAATGTAATCAGAGGCTGCTTGTGTGAATACAGTTGGGTTTGTTTTCTAGTCATTTACTGTGATTTTGGATTAGTATTTTTTTCATTCGTTTTAACAAAATTGGAATACATATAGTCGTGAAATATCTATATTATGAATTTTTCCGAAAAGTTCCCAATTTTGAAAAAAGAAACATATCATTTTGATTTATAAAAATCCGATTTCTGATTTTGTTGATTTGTTTTTTTGGAAGGGAATTCGGTTTCGTTTTCCACTTTTGAAAAATGGATCGATGGCAATGTTTGGTATGGTTTTGAGAGTTATTTTCATTTTATTTTGGCGGAAATATGTTTTGAGAATGAAAATAATGTTTGTTTATGATTTGAGATTAGACAAAATACGCCGTAGCAGTCAAATCATAGTCTAATTTATTTACAGTAGCCGTCAAATAATATGTGGAGGAGAGATAAACTCTATATGTTTTTTTGAATTTTTTTCAAAAGCTAAAACAAACACGAATTCATTATCAGAAATGAATAAAAAGAATAAAAGTGAAACGAAAGCAGAACCAAACATTGCCGAAATTCCAATTTTCGGTCTTAATTGAATACTTTTGAGGCCCAATAAGAGGAGTCGCTAACCTAAATTAGACACGTGGCACATTTCACAAAAGCCCATTTACATTTAGGCCCAAAATAGCCCTAATCTCAGAAAATTACACTGAATAAATGAAACGAATTGGGGCTTTAAAGCAAAATCTCCTAGCAGCGGCATAAGAACCCTAATTTTGCACCGCCGTCGCGAGGAAAAGAAAAAAATCAATTAAGAAATGGTGAAGTTCCTGAAGCCAAACAAGGCGGTGATCCTCCTCCAGGGGCGATTCGCCGGGCACAAGGCGACGATCGTGAAGAACTTCGACGACGGGACGCGCGACCGCCCCTACGGCCACTGCCTGGTCGCCGGAATCGCCAAGTACCCGAGCAAGGTGATCCGCAAGGACTCCGCGAAGAAGCAGGCGAAGAAGTCGCGCGTGAAGGCGTTCGTCAAGCTCGTCAACTACAACCACATCATGCCCACGCGCTACACGCTCGACGTGGATCTGAAGGACCTCGTCTCCGGCGACGCGCTTGTGTCACGCGACAAGAAGGTCACCGCCTGCAAGGAGATCAAGGGTAAGTTCGAGGAGAGGTTCAAGACCGGGAAGAACCGTTGGTTCTTCTCCAAGCTTAGGTTTTGAGAGGTTATTTTCGTCTTTTCCCCCCTTTTTTCTTTTGCTGCTTGTGGTAGATGATGTGTTTCATTTCTCTTATATTTTTATTAGACATTTTGACTGAAAGTGAAGGTTTTCTTATTTACGTTTTTACCTGCGTATTGAATCATATTGAGCTTATTCAGTTTTTGTGATTTGAATTATGTAGTGGAGTGTAAAAAAATGTGTTAAATTGTCGATGAAATTTCTGCGGAATCGTATTATGATAGCATTTTGAGTCTGCATTATTTATTTTCGTCGACAGTCTTTTGTATGTTAGGTTTAATAGGATTCTTACTTATCGAAACTTCTATTATTAGTAGTAGTGCGGAATGAGTCAATCATCCGTATCTTATTCAACGAAAAAGGGTATTCTTGTTTGATCAAGAATTTCGATTTTGTCGATTCACTATCATTGTTCATGTGTTTACCCACGAGTAGGTCACTTTTGGGGCCAACGCCTTTAGTTTATGTACGATTTGGGGGTTTAAAAACCGGACAATGGTTGTATTCTTCTTTGATTAAGAATTTGATTTTGTCGATTCACTTTCATTGTAGATGTGCTTACGTCTACCCTCGGTTAGGTCACTTCTGGGGCGAATGTCGTTAGTCTTTATACGACTTTGAGGGTTGGCCCGATGGTTGTATTCTTTGTTGATCAATAATTTCGATTTTGTCGATTCCATTGTTCGTGTGTTTACCCTCGATTAGGTCACTTTTGGGGCAAATGTCATTAGTCTATATATCATTGGTTTGAAGTTCACTCATGGCATTGCAAAACATTTTCACTTCTTGTTTGGATAGTTATGTATATGAGCTTTTCTTCTTATATTGAATTAATTAAATCATGTTTAAATGTGTTGAAAAGAAAAGATTATTTGAAATAATGTCTTGAAAATTAACGTGGTGATTGACTATATTTTAGCAAAAAAGGATTGTTAAATAGCTTACGATTTTTTGTGATTTTTTTAACGATGAATACATTAGTGATCTTTGAAAATGAACAATTTATTGACTACATTGAATTAAAAAAAACCTTTTGTATTACATATTTGACTGTTCACAAGTATTATTAAAAAATAATTTTAAGATTTCAGCATGTTTCAGCAAAAAGTGTGATATAAAGCATACGATTTTTGTGATTTTATTTAATGATTTAAAAATTAGTGAAATAATTTTTTGATGAAGAAGTTATCAACTACATCGGGATAAACACCTTATATATATATACTTGATGTTTAAAAATATTAAAAAAAATTCAACAATTTCAGCAGTTTTAAGGAAAAAAACGTATGCTATAGCATGCATGTTTCTGTGATTTTCCTCGGTAAAATTATTAGTGATTTTTTTAATGACCAATTTATTGACTATAATTGGGATAAAAAACCACCTTCTATGTTATATATTTGACTTTTTAAAAATATAAAAAAATAATTTAAAAATTTAAGCAGTTCTCATAAAAAAACCACCTTCTATGTTTTATATTACGATTCAAAAATTTGTAAAATAATTTTTCGATGAATAATTTATTGACAACATAGAGATAAACACCTTCTATAATATATATTTGTTGACTGTTCAAAAATATTAAAAAATAATTAGAAAAATGTTCATAAGTTTTTCGCAAAACAAGTGTGCTATAATTTCTTAAATGAACAATTTAAGACATATGATTTTTTTAATGAACAATTTCTTAACTATATTGGGATAAACACATTCTATATTATACATTTGACCGTTATTTAAAAAAAAAAAATTCCAAAATTTCGGCAGTTTTTAGCAAAAAATGTGTGCAGTATACGATTTTTTGTAACTTTATTTGATGATCGAAAAAATAGTTAAATAATTTTTCGATAAACAATTTATCAACTACATTGAGATAAACACCTTATATATTATAGATTTGACTGTTCAAAAGTATTAAAAAATATTTTTAAATTTTCAGTGAATTTTTGTGATTTTTCTTGACGATGAAAACATTAGTGATTTTCTTAAATGAATAAAATGTTGATAACATCGGAATAAAACACCGTCTGTATTATTATATATTTCGCTGTTACAAAAAAAATAAAAAAAAATCAGCAGTTTCTAGCAAAAAACGTGGACTATAGCATACGATTTTTACGATTTTATTTGACGATTCAAAATTGGTGAAATAATTTTTAATAAACAATATATTGTTAGTTTACGTTTTAAAACGTTTTTTATTTTGGTCCACTAATCTTTATTTTAATTAATTAAATTGTGGGTAATTCAAATCATGGTATTAAGGTGATTTTATGGTAATTGATTTGTAACGTTGAAGGCAGTAAAAGACCATGATGGGTGGGATTTGTCTTCTGCCGTTACAAATCAATCGTGGCCCTCTTCTCTCGTCTATAAAAGAAATCCACAACTCTTCTCCTCAACCATCAGACGCAAATTGAGAATTCCATCACTTACAGAATACTAGTGAGTTGTGATATTAGAGAGATAGAGAGAAGAAGGTGTGCCTACGAATAAAGTTCTCACAAGAAGATTCGAAGGAGGCCTGGCTAGGCTCGGCTTGTAGATTGTTATCATTCATCGTTTCTATCGAAACCCATGGCGAACGGTATGTCGATAATCCCAATTATGTGTTTATGTTCTTAAGATGAATTTGATTTCAAGATTCTGTGATTAAAGTTTTCCGCATAAAATAAATAAAAGTCTTTCAATTGGTATCAGAGCAGGGTTTTGAAATCGATTCATCTTAGAACTTATAATCCCAATCTTACGGCTGCATTATCTCATGAAATTATATTTAAGATCAAATATTGTTTTGCACTTTTGCTGTATGCGCCTTTAAATATTTTTTAATTTCTCTCGCTTTGGAAACAAAAGACTCGTGGCTGTTGTTTTGTATACAAAATTCAATAATTATTTGTTTAAATAGTCTTTTCGATAAAAGCACTGAGACAGGAATTTTGTTTTCAAAAAAAAACTTGGTTGACCATCTGTGCTCAATATTTAATGCCTAGATAGCAGCAACATATAAAATACAATTTTCTTTAGTCCATTGTCACTGGATTAATTTTATAAAAGAAATATATGCAGTTTGTGTGCTGAATTATGTGCAATATATCAATGCTTATTCTGTATGTATTTATATTTTGATTATCTTATATTAGCATGTATATTTAAATGATTAGAGTACATACACAGCAGACCGTATAAAATTATGTGCAAGCTTTCGGTGCTTGAATTGTATGTATTGAAAATTGTTTTATAGTATATGAAGTTGTATGTGCTGAATTATATGATCCATATGACGGTACATATTTTGTACAATTCGTTCATTATTATTTTGCATAAACGCCATTCAAACAAAATAACGAGAATATTATTAGTTTTATATTTATGCAAATTTACTAATCTTGTAGTTGCTAAAGTGACCTAGATTAGTAAAATCTAATAAATATAAGAACTATATGAAAGTTTAATCATTTACATGATATTAAAGATTATAATATTCTCAAATTGCAGTCATAATTAAGAAATTGAGACTAGCTCAAAGGATAGTCGATTTTAATTAATTATGAACTGGGTAGGGTGTCATAATTTATATTACTTAGCAATTAGAATTGTTTACCTAAAGGTAACATGACTAATTGACGAGTGAGATAAATTATGTTAGACCCTACTTAGGTGTTATAAAAGATCATTTACACCAACATAGAGTGAACAATAGGTATGCTGTATTTCACCCAAAGGCGAACTTGTAGTGATATCGATAGTTCATCTTATTTGACTCAAGGTCTTATGTGAGCATCCTTTTATCTTTACCTTATATATTTGCTATATTTATTTCAGTTGCTATTCCTACTTCATTGTACTCGCATGCTTCTGGTATTAAGACACTCAATGGGTCAAATTTCTCCGAATGGTATGAACAAATTCAATTCACCTTGGGTGTTATGGATTTGGACCTAGCATTGCTTACTGAAAAACCTGGGGAAATAACGAATGCTAACAGTGAGGAAGAAGTTAGCCTAATTGAAGCTTGGACCAAGTCCAATAGACTTAGTCTTATGCTTATTAGAATGACTGTTGCTAATAACATTAAGACCTCCCTTCCCGAGGTTGACAATGCTATGGAACTGTTAACGGCTATTAAAGAACGCTTTAAATCAGCGGACAAGTCGTTAGCAGGGACACTCATGGCTGAATTGACTACCATGAAATATGGTGGTGATAAGGGAATTCAGGAACACATCCTGAATATGACTGACAAGGCTGCCAAACTTGGAGCTCTTGGCATGAAAGTGGAAGAGTCCTTCCTTGTGCAATTTATCCTTAACTCACTTCCATCAAAGTTCGGCCCATTCAAAATCCACTATAATACTCAAAAAGATAAGTGGAATTTGAATGAGCTGACTAGTATGTGTATTCAAGAGGAAGTGAGATTAAAGCAAGAAGGAAATCACTTTGCATTGGCTGTAACTCATGGAAGTATGAAGAAGAAAGGGAAATTTGTGAAGAGTGGAAAGAAATTCGCACCAAACAAAAGATATGAACCTGGTGAAAGTAGTCAGGGTCATGGAAAGGCTTTTGTTGTCACCTGTTACTTTTGTAACAAGAAGGGACACGTAAAGAAGGATTGTGAGAAACGAAAGGCTTGGTTCGAAAAGAAAGGTATTCATCTTTCTTTTGTATGTTATGAATCAAATCTTATTGAAGTTCCTTCTTACACTTGGTGGCTTGATTCTGGTGCTACAACTCATATCACAAATTCATTACAGGGATTCCTTACAACTCGGAAACCGGAGGAAAGTGAAAAGTACATCTATATGGGGAACCGTCTCAAATCTAAAGTGGTGTTTGTTGGCACTTATCGCCTCATATTAGAGACGGGTCATAAGATGGATCTTGAAAACACTTTTTATGTACCTTCGTTTTCTAGGAATTTGGTTTCTTTGTCAAAACTGGATGTTTGTGGTTATTCAGCTTTAATTGGTTGTGGAAAACTCAGTTTTATGTTTAATTCAATAATAATTGGTTCCGGTATTTTATGTGATAGTTTATATAAAATACCTTTGAATCATGAGTTTGAACAATCATTATTAACCACTCATTCGGAAGTTGGCGTAAAGCGAAGCCTAAATAACGAAAATTCTTCTATCTTGTGGCATAAACGATTGGGGCATATCTCCAAGGAAAGAATCGAAAGATTGGTAAAAACTGGAATTTTGGAAAATCTAGACTTTACTGATTTTCAAATGTGTGTGGATTGCATTAAGGGTAAGCAAACCAAACACAATAAAAGAGGTGCCACAAGAAGTAAAGAGCTTCTTGAGTTAATCCATACAGATATCTGCTCACTACCTATTCCATGTTTTAGTGGAGAAAAGTATTTTATCACCTTCATTGATGATCTATCTCGTTATGGTTATCTCTATCTAATTCATGAAAAATCTCAAGCCGTTGACATGCTTGAGGTGTTTGTTACGAAAGTCGAAAGACAATTAGATAGAAAAATTAAAGTTATACGATCAGATCGGGGTGGGGAATACTATGGTAGATATGATGAGTCGGGACAAAATCCTGGCCCATTTGCTAAATTCTTAGAAAAGCGTGGTATTTGTGCTCAATACACAATGCCTGGAACACCACAGCAGAATGGAGTTGCTGAACGTCGTAATCGTACTCTTATGTATGTTAAGTAATTCAACTGTACCCATTTCACTTTGGAATGAAGCCTTGAAAACCGCTATGTATATCTTAAACCGGGTTCCCAGTAAGGCAGTCCCAACAACTCCCTACGAGTTGTGGACTGGTAGGAAACCTAGTTTAAGACATTTACATGTTTGGGGTTGTCCGGCAGAGGCTAGAATATACAATCCAAATGAAAAGAAATTGGACCCTAGAACAATTTCTGGATATTTTATTGGTTATCCACTAAAGTCAAAAGGGTACAGATTTTATTGTCTTAACCATACTACGAGAATAGTTGAAACTGGAAATGCCAAATTCTTAGAGAATGGTGAAGTTAGTGGGAGTCTTGAATCAAGAAAGGTAGAACTTGAGGAAATTAGGGTGGATATTTTACCATCTTATTTCCCTCAAGATGAAGTTACTCTTCAACCTATACAGCAGGTTGAAACAAATGATTCGCCACTCCATTCACCACTTCATGAAGATGTTATTATTGGCAATACTGTAGAACCACCACAACCGGTAGCTTTGAGGAAATCTCAAAGGGAAAGGAAAACTGCCATATCCGATGATTATGTGGTGTATCTACAAGAATCTGATTTTGATATTGGTATTCAAAATGATCCAGTTTCATATTCACAAGCCATGAAAAGTAAAGATTCTAGTAAATGGATTGATGCTATGAATGAAGAGTTGAAATCAATGGACCATAATGATGTCTGGGATCTTGTCGAATTGCCTAAGAACAGTAAGAAAGTCGGTTGTAGATGGGTCTTCAAAACCAAACGTGACTCGAAAGGCAATATCGAAAGATTTAAAGCTAGACTAGTGGCCAAAGGTTTCACTCAAAAAGAAGGCATTGATTATAGAGAAACTTTCTCTCCAGTATCTAAGAAAGACTCTCTTAGAATCGTTATGGCTCTTGTAGCTCATTATGATTTGGAGTTGCACCAAATGGACGTTAAAACCGCTTTTCTGAATGGGGATTTAGATGAAGATATCTATATGGACCAGCCTGAAGGATTTGCAAAACAAGGAAAGGAACACTTGGCTTGTAAATTAAAGAAATCCATATATGGACTTAAACAAGCTTCTAGACAATGGTATATAAAATTCAATGATACCATTACTTCCTTTGGATTTAAGGAAAACACTGTTGACCAGTGTATATATCTAAAGGTCAGTGGGAGCAAGTTTATATTTTTAGTCTTGTATGTGGATGATATTTTACTAGCAAGTAGTGATCTTGGTTTGCTTCACGAAACTAAGAATTATCTTTCCAAGAATTTTAAGATGGTTGATATGGATGAGGCAAATTATGTTATTGGGATAGAGATCTTTAGAGATCGATCTCGAGGATTGTTAGGCTTGTCTCAGAAAGGATATATCAATCGAGTTCTTGAAAGATTTAATATGCAGTTTTGTTCAGCCATTAATGCTCCTATCACGAAAGGTGATAAATTAAGTGAAAAGCAATGTCCAAAGAATGATTTGGAAAAGGAGAAAATGAAATTGATTCCATATGCATCAGCAGTTGGAAGTTTGATGTATGCACAGACGTGTACTAGACCAGATATTAGTTATGCAGTGGGAGTACTTGGTAGATATCAAAGTAATCCGGGAATAGATCATTGGAAAGCAGCAAAGAAGGTTATGAGGTATCTTCAAGGAACAAAGGATTACATGCTTACTTATAGGAGATCGGACCAACTAGAGGTTATTGGTTATTCAGACTCCGATTTTGCTGGTTGTGTAGATAGTAGAAAGTCCACATCGGGCTTTGTATTTCTACTAGCTGGTAGAGCAATCTCTTTGAAGAGCGTAAAGCAAAGTATTATTGCTTCTTCCACAATGGAGGCTGAGTTTGTAGCATGTTTTGAGGCCTCGAGTCATGCACTGTGGTTGCGAAATTTTATCTTAGGGCTTAAGGCTGTTGACTCAATTGCTAAGCCTTTGAAGATATATTGTGATAACACCGCAGCCGTTTTCTTCTCTAAGAATGGAAAGTATTCAAGTGGATCCAAGCACATGGATCTTAAGTACTTGGTTGTTAAAGAAAGAGTCCAGAAACAACAAGTGTCAATAGAAAATTTAAGTACAACTCTTATGGTTGCTGATCCATTAACCAAGGGATTGCCTATAAAGACATATGAGGAACATGTTATTAGAATGGGTCTTTTGAGCAATCCATGATTTAATGAGTTATGATTATGTAATTGACACTTAATTTATTTAATGAAATGTTTCTGTTTTCCTGTTTCCAATTATGTGTGCACATATTATATTTGGATTTAACAGGGTTTGTCCTAACAAGACAAAATTAAAGGGGCTATTATGGATTAGAATAGTAAGGGTTATTAGTGGCGTGATACATAGAAGGGAATATGATGAATGAATCATATAACCGCTATGATTCACATTAATAACTCAAACTAGTTCTAATATTAAAGTACTCTATTTACCTATTATGGTAATCACCTTAATTTTCTTTTAAAATCGTGATCACGTGTCAAATGTTTTGTATGAAGAACCCACCGAGTCAAATATTTTTTAAACTTATTTTTCTTAATCGATTCAGTGGACCAAGTGGGAGAATGTTAGTTTACGTTTTAAAACGTTTTTTATTTTGGTCCACTAATCTTTATTTTAATTAATTAAATTGTGGGTAATTCAAATCATGGTATTAAGGTGATTTTATGGTAATTGATTTGTAACGTTGAAGGCAGTAAAATACCATGATGGGTGGGATTTGTCTTCTGCCGTTACAAATCAATCGTGGCCCTCTTCTCTCGTCTATAAAAGAAATCCACAACTCTTCTCCTCAACCATCAGACGCAAATTGAGAATTCCATCACTTACAGAATACTAGTGAGTTGTGATATTAGAGAGATAGAGAGAAGAAGGTGTGCCTACGAATAAAGTTCTCACAAGGAGATTCGAAGGAGGCCTGGCTAGGCTCGGCTTGTAGATTGTTATCATTCATCGTTTCTATCGAAACCCATGGCGAACGGTATGTCGATAATCCCAATTATGTGTTTATGTTCTTAAGATGAATTTGATTTCAAGATTCTGTGATTAAAGTTTTCCGCATAAAATAAATAAAAGTCTTTCATATATTGACTAAATTGGGATAAACACCTTCAATATTATGTATTCGACTGTTCAAAAATATTAATAAATAATTTAAAATTTTCAACAGTTTTTAGCAAAAAAACGTGTGCTTATAGCATATGGTTTTCTGGGATATTGCAACAATTTTTTTATGCGCAATTCATGGACCATATTTAGAGAAACATATTCTATACAAAAATCTTGAAGGTTAATATTAAATCCCTCACTAAATTTACTAAATCCCACACATAAATTAAAAAAAAAAAATCTCTCTCTATTTGTATTTTCTCTAACTTTTTTTCTATGATGATTTTTTTCAAGTCACTAAAAAATCGTTACCTTTCACGAGAATAATCATAAAAAGTGAGTTTAGGTTTATTTAATATTTTTTAATTTCATTGTGCCTTTTTAATTATTTAAATTCATATCAATTCGATTTTTTTTTCTCAATTTCCAACTTTATTTTAGTTTGAACACATGAAGATTTTTCTCAAATTCGAACTTGGAATGATATGGACGTTTTTAGTGTGATTTTGTGAAAAAAGTTAGGGAAAAAAGAAGATGGATGGGAAAAGAGAAGATAAAATTTTAGAGAGAGAGAAATTTTCAATTGTGTGTATGATTTGGTAAAATTGATGTGGGATTTAGCATATCAGTATCTGGAAACATAAATAATCGTTAAACACCAGCAGGCTTCGTTGAAGGCCCCAAATACATAGGTGAACTTATCCAAATACCGGCCCATTTATTATTATTATTTATTTATTTATTTATTTATTATTATTATTATTGAAAATTCGGTCCATCTTGATTGATCTGGTTTAGACATTCTCGGAAGATTTCAATTTTCCCGCGCTTTCCTGGTAACAATTTTCTTTCTCCCCCGTGAAAAAGAGATTTCCAATTTTCTAATGTGGATACAAATAATCAGATGAGTGGTCGATTACGCCACTAAAATTAATGGTTAAATTTTACTTGAACAATTGCAAGAAGCTTTTGTAGGGAAGCTGTAGACAAGGTGCTCGACTAATTGCCCCTGAGAAGTCTTCAAAAAATGCGCAGATATTTGACTCTCTTGCAACTGCGTATAAGTTATCGGAACAATGGAACGAGAATATTCGATGGATTATCAGGTTATAGGAGTACGCAGATCATGCACAAAACGACCGTCGGCAAACCGAAGCAAAAAGTATACCATAGGGTGCACGAACTCGATCGGGTGATGGAACTCCAAAAGAAGCCGTTACTTATCTTGAACCTCAAATCGATTATCCAATCCCAGAAGACAGAGTCCATTCTTCTCAGAGATTTAGAAAAAGAAGTTGGGTTTGTGCAGAAATGGAATTACATGGCCGTCATCGAAAAATACCACCCGATTTTCCGGGTTGTAGGCGGTGAGGGCAGCAGATCGCCGCCAGCTGTTACTCTAAGTGAAAAGGCGAAAAAGATTGCGTCTTTAGAATCCGAAGCATTAGTGCAAATGGAACCCGTTTTGGTTCGGAATTTAAAGAAGCTGTTGATGCTGTCGGTTGACTGTCGATTGCCGCTAGAAACGATTCAGTCAATCGCTACTGAATTGGGATTGCCTAGTGATTTCAAGAACTCGTTGATTCTAAAGTACCCTCAGTTTTTCCGGTTGGACGAGTTCAACGGGAGGGTGTATCTGCATTTGGAGAATTGGGATTCTTCACTAGCTGTAACCGCCCGCGAAGAGATGCTGCCGCCGATCTCCGACGCCCAATTGAAGAGGGGTAAAAAGATATCGAAAGACGGCAACTTTTCGGGCCCTTTTGCGTTCCGACTGAAGTACCCTATTGGTTTCAGGCCGAACGTGAGTTATCTAGAGGAAGTACAGCGGTGGCAGAAAATGGAATTCCCTTCTCCGTACTTGAACGCGAGGCGGTTCGAAGCAGCAGCCGATCCGAAAGCTCGGAAAAGAGCCGTGGCGGTGCTCCACGAGCTCCTCAGTTTGACCATGGAGAAGAGGTTGACTTCCGCCCAGATCGATGCGTTTCATTCGGAGTATCGTTTGCCAGCTAGGTTATTGCTTTGCTTGATAAAGCATCAAGGTATTTTCTATATCACCAATAAAGGTGTGTTTAGTACCGTAATCTTGAAAGAGGCTTATGATGGATCGAACTTGATCGATAAATGCCCCCTAATAAAATTTAGAGATAATTTTTTGGCGTTAATGGGTAGGAACGAGTCTTCTTGTGTTGTAAACTGAGTACGTTCGTTTGAGAAAACGATGATTGTGTAATGAATTTAGATACATATGTTGGCCTCGATCAAATCGGCAATCGCCGTAGTTAAATGTGGCATTTCAAGAATCATTTCTTTAAAATTCAATTTGTGGTTTTCTTTTTCAACATTGAGAAGAATTCCTTGTTTTAAGTTAGCAGTTGATTCCCTTTTGTCCCATAAACTCATGTCATGGTAAACTGGTATTCGAGTGTATTACGGTCACCCCTGAGGTAAGGTGAAATTACGAAAAAATCCTTCATGTTTGGATAATTACAGCCACCTCCCTCAACTATGAATCTTCTTACACGTCCCACCTTATGGCGTCAAATTTTCACAATAATCTTCTAGATGCCTTGAAATGTTCTCTAGTTTGAACTCGTTTTGTATAAAAATACAGTTTCTGATGCACCACTATCTGATAGTTCCAATCCACATCTTATGTCTTCTGAGTTTCAAGTTGTCGAATGTGGAGCTCGAAAAGGGTGAAACGGGTACAAACTGGAGAATATTCCATATAATCTAGAAGATTCCACTCAATTTGACACCATGAGGGGTTGACTGTAATTACTCAAACATGAGGGGTTCTTTCGCAATTTAACCTTAATTCATGGAGTTTTTCGTAATTTACTATTTTGTTAAAGTATTTTGTAGGTTATAAATGTAAGAGTAAAAAGCAGTTTGCCCCCTAAATTAAGGGCCGTTTTGCACTTTACCCCCCAAACAAAATTTTTTTGCACGTTTTTACCTAAACTACGTTTTTTGTTGCACGGTGCCCCCTAAACTCAATTTTCCGGCAATTTTGAACGGAATGTTCAATAATGTGCGTTTCACGTGAGATTTATGGGGGTAAATTCGTCAATCCACTTAACTGCTATATATTAAATATAAATAAATTATTAAAAAAAACAAAAAAAAAAAAAAAAAAAAAAAAGGGAAATTATCATCGTCTTCCTAAAGTCAGTAACCTCGCAAAGAAACAATAGGCATTCTCAACCCACAACCCACTTTCCACCTTCAACATCGGAATATAAGTTTTCAAGATTTATCAATTTGATGAAATTTGGGTGAATTTGCAGCAGGGATTTCACCTTCAACATCCGAATACAGGATTCTCACTTGAGGTGTGGGGGTTGCCTGAGCTGGTGAATCGACCGTCGGAAAGGATCGCATCCGTCGGGCTCGAGCCGATCGCGGCGAGCGTGACTGCCGCCGGGACTGTTGAAATGGCGAGTGCGACGATTGGTCCGATCGGGAGGCGGAGGAGAATCCAAATCCGCCCCGACACCGAAAGGATCCGAATCGAGACCTCCAGCTGCAGCTCCGATGCGCTCGTCATACAAACTCCAATTACCAAAATGGGCGGTTCCTGCTACCAAACCTTCAATTCAAGAGAGAGAGAGAAAGAAGGGGCCAAATTCCATATTCAATTTTTTTTATTTGGGATTTAGTATGTATAAACGTTTTCTCCATTAATGAACATTTGGAGAAAATTTGTTCAGAAAAATAAAAGAAGGGAAGAAGATGAAGAAGAGAGGAGAGAGTCAGAGACGATAGAGAAGAGATGATGATGGTCTGGGTTTTTTTCGTTTTTGGTTTTTGTTCATTTTTGTTCTTTTTCTTTTTTATTAATTATTATTATTATTATTATTATTATTATTATTATTATTATTATTATTATTATTATTATTATTATTATTATTATTATTATTATTATTATTATATTTTAAATATTAAAATATACAATGTAAGGGAAGTGACCAATTTGCCCCTGCAAATCTCATGTGCAATACACGTGTAGTCATATTTCTGTCAAAATTACCGGAATATTCCTTTTAGGAGGCACCGTGCAATGAATTATCAAGTTCAGGTAAAAACGTGCAATTTTTTTTTGTTTGGGGGGCAAAGTGCAAAACGGGCTATAATTTAGGGGGTAAACTGCTTTTTACTCTAAATGTAATATATGATCCATTGAATGTGAAGATTACAGAAAACAGAATTGTACCACTGGTCATATTGTGCTGTCTCTCTCTCTCTCTGACATGAATCAAAGTTTGAACCAATACTTCACGTTTGTGAAATTATTGTACGCATTTATTATTACAAATATATTCAATTAATTTATTTATTTTAAAACCCCTCAAATAATATATTATTGTGGGCCTGGGTCCTTTTTGTCTCTGTACATATCAATAAAGCCCGTCAGAATTGGTTAATTCAATTAATTTGTTACAGAAAAAAATAAAAAAAGAGTGGACCACGTATATTAATGGAGCATATGATCATGTTTATTATATGATACTAAATTGTAAATTGTTTATATGACCACTTTATTGGCAATGCTCGTTTTTCAATCTACATTACAATCTTGATAAATTAATAACTATAGCTTAAATAATAGTTTCTTCTGGTCTCGACTCGGTAAAAATCTACTAAATTATTAGTTCGATAATTTAATGTTTCACTAAATTAATAGAATTTTATTAGTCCCGACTGTATTAGTTTATGGAGATTTAACTGTACTATCATTATTTTATTTTATTTTTTTTATATTTTTGTCGATGGATTAAATAACTAATTTATATGGTTGATCGATTGTTAAATTTTAACTTTTTGTAGACAACTCATGCCTTCGAAAGTATAAGTATCCATTTCTTTCGAATAATCTAATACTCCAATTGCTGTTTATTGCCATTTGGACATGTGTTAGCCCGTTAGTTGGTGCCATGGGCTATGACTCGGATGTGGCCGACTCATGGTCGAGAAATGCTGTCAAGTGATGGTTTGCACGAGATAACCACACATCAGCCAATGAGCAGTCGAGTGCTGGGGTTTACTTGTTTGATCAATGTTTTTGTAAGTTTGTCGAAAGAGAATCGAGAGCGCAGGCTAATTGATTTGTAAGAAAATCAAGCTGCACGAAGGCGAAAATTTCTCGTGTAAAAAAAAACTTCTACAATAGAAAACATTGGCAGACAACCAACAAAGAATGAATTATTCTTGTTTTTATTAATTAAGTTTGATGTAATTTGACTAGCTAGAAAAGATAGACCTACAAATAAAATAAAATAAATAACAATAAAATTAAAAAAATAAATAATATGGGGGTCGATTGATTTTTTATGTGAAAGATCCCAAAAGTGTGGGGGCCAAAGGCGTGTCTTGCATTATTACGCGTAAGAGTAGTTGACAACACAAAATCGTGCTTTGCCATATTAGTCTATCACACTAAATTAATTTCACAAAAATAAATATTTACTTTATTTTCTTTAAATAAAAATAAAGTGATGGATGATTCTTGGTTGTGTCACCATCCCATCTCTACACAAGACTTTTAAAAAAAATAAAATAAAATAACATAGGACATGAATTATTACATTTTAGAATCACCTTTTTAATTTTTTTTTAATTTTTCTCACAATATTTTAATTCATAATTATGGAAAATATAAATATGAGCCCACCAATTATCTATCCACATTTTTGTGTTCCTTCTTGCCAACATTTGGTACCATTGAATAAAGTTGTCCACTTAATTGATTCATGTTTGTTTGGTTGAGAAAAGGAAATAAAATAAAATAAAAACATAAATGGAATTAGTGAAGTCTTATTAGACTATTAGTTACTCTCAACCAATCATTTTATTTTATTTTTTTAATTCTTAATGGCTTTAGAATTTCGATGCATAATTGTTATTAATTTTTTTCTGAAATGTTAAATGTCGGTTCAATTTTACTTCCGTGTTCTGGGCTTTACCTAATTCATACTTGAAAATGGTCAAGATCACGTTCGAAATTGAAACGGTATTCCTAAAACAGAAACGACGTTTCTCACATTTTTTTGACCAAATTTACCGTAAGTAATTTTACATTTTTCTTATGAGTATAATACTATTTAATGAGCATTAGTGAAATCATGTCACATGAAGTTTTTGGATTAGTGGGTTGTGATTAAATAATTCTTGTTACTTAATTATTTAATGATTTAATTCCATATTGGGAAATTGTGGGGTTTGCACTTTGCTGATTCAAAATTGCAACAAATAGGGACTTTTACTTTAGTAGTAGTACTCCAAATAATAGACCAACCCATATTCATGTTTAAAAAATAAATAAATAAATAAAAGTAATTAAAAAAAAGTGGAATATAAATTCTGCCATAAAGGTGAAAATAATTCTGTAAATTAAAGAGAGATATGGTTTCAAGGTACAAATGTTTAATGCTCCTCTTCTCATTGTCACTTTGCACCATTTCTGGATTCTTATTCTTTGACCTAATTACCATTTTCTACGAATATAAGTATTAAAAAAAATATAAAATCAATTTTTTTATATATATATTAAATAAACAAAATCATCGTCCATACATGTCTGTTTCGATTTGGATTGAATAATATGGGTCCAAATTTTGGACCATATTTATATGCTTCCAAAAATTAGTATATATATATATATATATATATATATATATATATATATATATATATATATATATATATATATATATGTGTGTGTGTGTGTGTGTGTGTACCTCACATTAACATAGATTGGAGAAAAAAGGGGACAAATAGTGTGTGTGATGAAGACATTTCTCTATGTCCTTAAATTCATTTGTACAAATAACTATTAATTCCCTTTGGTTTGAGTGTGACCCTCCTCATTGTCCCTACTTGGCCTTAATTTGCTTTTTTTTTTTTTTAGATTTAACGCCGAGTCGATTATTGTAAATCAGCCGACTCGACAAAAGTTCGAACTCAATCAGCTGGATAGCCCATGGGTGTAAAATAAAGAAAGAGCAAGAAATGTGGCATTTTGACAAATTATTTTCGTTGGTAAGCAAGCGCTTTACACTTATGACTATTAGTCATGAATTCGAGACACCAGGAGGGAAATTTGACAACCAGTAACTATTTTTACTTTTAGGAAAAAAAATATCGAATAAATTCATTTGATTTTTTTTTTAGGTGGGCCTTACTATCACGAGTCATATTAATTATTATTATTTAAAGAAAATCACAAGTCACTTTAATTTATTTTTTATTTTAATTTTCAAATTGAGGGTCAACTTTGATGGTGCTATCATAATTAACCCATTCAAGTCAATCGTTTTATTGAGTGTTGTGGGGGGTTAATTAGATTAATTCCATGATAAGATTAATTGATTAAATTAAATAGTAATGGGGTGAGATATTTAATTTAATTAATGAATTTTTATTATTCTCTTTAGGTTGATGAAGAACAATGGAGATTAAATAATAAATAATTTGGTTGATTTACTTGACTTCTAAAACACCTCCATATTAGTTATGTTAGTGCAACATCAACTATCCTATATGGATATCCCAACAAGCATGATTTAGGATTATTTGAACCATTATTAGTGCAATATAAAGGAATAATTTACACACACACACACACAAAGATAATAATTTAATATAGTAGTTATGATAACACAATATGTCAATATTAAAATAGAAAGTGTAAACTCATTATAACATCATCACATATATATATATTTAAATACTGAAATGTTAAATGTCGTTTCATGTTTACCAATACATACGATTACGGATTCGAACGTGATTTTGACCATTTTTAAATATGAGTTAGCTTTCTAATATATCCAATTTGAATCAGTTAGATTGGATGTCCGTGACAAAATTATTAATTAATGAGTTGCATTTTAAAATTTTATATAACTCAAAACGTTAAAGTTGTGATCATTCTGCATTGATTCCTGCATATCCTTTCCACCCGATATTCGATTATGGTGATTAAAGTTCGATTAGAGGGTAACTCAAAGAATGACGATGTCTACGTTTCCAGTTTTGCAAAATTTAACATCAAAATGGTCAAAATCACATTTAAAGTCGGCACGTAATTATTAAAACCGATATGATACTTCACGTGCATATCAACAGGTGCAATATAAGTTTGACCGTCACAATTTTCGACACACGCCTCAAGTTAATTCATAAATAATGTGGAAGAGTAATAAATGAATTAGGAATACACTATATAGTATATATACTAAATGGTTGTACCAAATTCAAAGGAGACTTCAACTCCACCACCATAACCAATAATCAATAAAAATTGAATAATTAATTGTACATATTATCCAATAATACAATTTACTTCTAGACAATTGGCCTAATCTTAGGTAATTGGTTGGGCCTAAATTTAACTCTATATATATAGTGGAGCATGGGTGTAGAGTATTATTAATTATTATATAGATTTAAGTATTGGCCGAACAAATAAATATGAATAATTATGACCTATGTCCTATGATTAAGATATTAGCCATACTCTAGAAGTCATTTGGTTTGTCTAAACAATTGATTTTTAGGTGTTAATTGTAATTCAATAAACCAATTAATTATATGCCTTCTCAAGTATTCTCTAATTCTGCGCCTTTTTTTTAATAAAGAAACTCGAAGTCAACCGTTTAGCTCAACCGTTTAGCTTGCACTGCATTGGAGAAATGTGAAATACATTGAGCCATGCATGACAAACTCGACCTAACGAATTGAAATATTAATTAGTAGTACTTGAATCCAAATTAATTAAATAATTTCAATTATTAAAAATAAATAAATAAATAAATAAAGGGGGATAAAAGAAATGGAATGCCGGTGATAAAGGAACAAACTGTCTTGATTCCGGTGGGACCCATTCAGGCAACTAAAGATCTTTCAACACCAACAATAATGTTTGGCGTTTACACCTGCCCTACTTTGTGGGACCCACTCACAAACCCCCAATTATCTACCGCAAACTCTATGCACTAATTTTTTTCTCATGCATTTCCTAATTTGCCCCACTAATTTTTTTATTTCTTTTTATCATTTTCCTTCTAGCTAGTCATTTTATTTTCTTTTTCTTCTACCAAATCCATTTGAAAAAAATATATCTTTTCTTAGTGATAATTTCATATTTTTTAGAGAATAAATAGAACTCTCTTACATTCAAATTATTTACCCTACGAACACCAGTGGGGCCAGAATTTTAGATTCGCCGATGGTCGAATGCTTTATTTTTTTAATTCTTTTTTACATTCCAATCTGACCCTTTGCTAGCTACGCCGCTGCTCGGACGAGTTTGTGAAAACTACATTGTTATGTTCTTACAACATTTTCACCTTCTAAATAAAAGTACTACTCATCTAATTTCTTTTATTACAAATTATTGGTGACACCCTTTAATGTGAAGTGTGTGCCACTCAATTTGATCAATTCAATGGTTTGTTTGTTTTAATTTTCAACAATGATGATAAGCATATATATATTGAGAAATAATATTTTGTCCTTTAGTCCAAAGGATAAATACTTAAACATGGATTTTGATAACCAAATGGTATCTTTTTTTAGAGGGAATTCAATTATTTATAAGTTAAAATTATATTACATGATTTGAATTAATTAAATAAAAGATTTGTAATTAAAATAAACTTAAAGATGAAGTGAACACGTGCACGTCAACTGAGCAAAAGCCCATCAATACAAAGTGGACAAATAAGCAATTCCAAATCTGAGGATGAAAATAAAGATGAGATAAACCCTAATCTAGATCATAATATTTATGTTGTTTAATATTAATAATATGCGATATTGTCAACTATTGAGGAATGTCATAGGTAAGTCTAATATCGGAAAAAATGTTAACGGTTATTCACAGATTAGTCACCAAATATTTTCAGGTTAATAAGACGATC